TCGAAATTAGAAAATTGTAAGCAAAAAACTATTTGATGTGTACTCGTGATATTTATTTACGTGGAATTTGATTTAACCCATATCAAAGACGGAGTACATTGAGATGAAATACTACATTTAGTAAGGAATTATAAGCCGAATAAAATAAAAACATCTGCCCTGAAGATAAGAATAGTGCTGACAGATCAACTTCCAGTTCATTGCGTGCAAGCGTCGTCCCCCCCCCCTGCAGAGCAGCGTGAAATTGATAAACATATTTCGGAATGATTAGAGAATCAAAGGATATGCCTTTAACCATTTTTTGCAGCAATTTCACTTTTTGTTTGATGAACATCAAAACTTGCTTTCGCTTTGTAGATCCTTTGGTACCTCCAGAATCGGAAATTCTTTTTGACATAATCGAAAGTTCAAGCTTACTTTTATAAAATTGCTCTAACAGTCTGCAAAAAATAATAAGCCGGATCCAATTAGAAGATTAAGGAACAACGCAATCTGCGACATTGACTGAAATAGATAATTAGATAATTTTAGCTTAGCTTATACCGTCCGATACATTAAACGCGCATGCGTAAATGCATAATTCACATGCGTAAAGGTATTATGCGCATGCATAAAAGTAACACATTATGCGTTGACGCATGTGCAGAAAGTTTGTAGCTTTGAGGTCCGGATTATAGATCATTCCGGATTAAAGACTTTTGACTGTATTCTTGAACTAAATCTAGCTTGAATACACTCTAAAACACTGATATGGCTGATATCTCTCCACAACTTCCTTCATGAAACTATACGCCATTATTCAACACGTAACCAAAAAGCCACCAAGACAAAATAAAACCACATTCCCCACAGAAGTTTCCATGTAAAAAGGGTTACCATACAAACAAAATCTCAACTAAACCATTCAACACAAAATATTGCCACATTTGGTGACCACATATATCCCGGGCTATATATGACATCTTATCCCTTGGTATTATTCAATTTGGCAATAGAGTGAAAATTTACAAATGAATGTAGAACATTCTGATAAGCACATTAAATTTGTGAAAACTGTGTGTGTATTTTTCGTAAAATAATTGCAGTTTTTAATGCATGCATAACAATCAAATAAATCTGCCTGTAATGATGAATTTCAAAGGCCAAGTCAAAATCATTTCATGAATTCAGTGCATCAAAAGAATTTAATCTCATCAAATTAAATCCTCATTACACTGATAAACAGTTATTGCCGATCTGTGTTATAAAACAGATTTTTATGTATGATAAATAATATTTTCTGAAGCGTAATTTTGTGTTGTTATCCCTAAATAAGAAACTGCCTACATATTCAGAAGGCTTAATGACTTTAATTGGATATATGCCAATGTAATTTAAAAAATTGTTGTTTAAACTGGTCTTTGATGCTTTTTAAAATGCACATTGGCCCAGTGCTCTCAAATTAGGGTTATGCAAACAAATCTGAGGTATAACTGAAAGAAACATAGACAAAAAGGAAAATGTCCAAAATGTCTGCCTTTTTGTGTATGCGTGTGTGTTGAAAAAATATAAATTCTACCTCCCACAAAGGCAAATTCAGGAGACATCTTCAAATACAGTACAAAGTCGAAGATCCGAATTTGTGGGGACTTCAGCAATTCCGGGATTGGGATTTTTCCAGATATTAGATCATCTGTTTAAAACTAGTAAGATGGCATGTAAAAATTGTAAAATTAAAAATATGAAGTTGTGATTTATGAAATGATGAAGCATTTATGATTTAAAGGGTAACAAAATTTACAAAACAAATGCCTAATATTTTTTTTTTTTCTTTATTAAACATTTGTTTCAATGGAAGTTGTTTAAATTGCTTTTTTGTGCTAATATTTTCTCTTTAATTCTGTAGACAGACATAATTTCTTATTCAGTTACAAAGCTCCATTGTTCAAGCTCTGCAATTGCTGTGTCGAGAATTCCGACTAACTTGTCAATTGAAATCTTTTCGTTTTCAGTAACCTCTCTGTCGCTTTCTTCTATTTTCTGGATCTAGAACCATACTACAAATTTTGATGTCCGTTAGTTGATGATGACTGGGGGATTGTCATCGCAATGAAATACTTCTGTTATATCATCTTTATTTGTTACCGCTTCTCCACATTTCTTTCCAAAATCCATTAACTGTAAAATTTCACCTTTGTTTTGCGATATCCGAAAACCTTAACATTCGCAACTGACTATTATATTCATCATTCTCACCATGAAATATGGTAGCTGCCCATAAATTATGCCAAGCATTTTTTAAAGTATCTGGAGACACATCCTCCCATGATTTTGTAATGCTCCACAAAGCAGATTTTATGCTAAAATATTTTTTAAATTTTTGAGTAGTCTTGCCATTATTTAAGAAATTTAACATGGATTTTTAAAATTATACTTTATATTTTTAGATTTTTTTTTCTTCCTTTATGTTACGTACCTTCGTTGTGGGGTTTGTGCAGATTTGGAGTGAATAATGACAACAGCACTTGATGAAGTATCAAAACATACTTTATTGGCCAGTATTATTCCAAACAGCTCCAAAATCACGTTTATAGTCGTCTTGGTGATGAAGGACAATCTGTTTACTAAATTTTCCATTACATGTTGCGAGAAAAGACAAGTTTCATCAGCGTTGTAAATTTGTTTTGGAAATAACTTTTAACTGTTAGCTTGAGCCATTAGCATTTGACCCGTCAATGGCATGCCTGCACTGCGATGCTGTCTGATCCATTCAGTGATCGCTTTGTCATGCAGTCATCACATGTCACATCTTTACTTTTAGCATAATGAATAATTTTTAGAAAAAAATATTCGTTATGCTATCTTTTAGCATAGCGAATAATTTTTAATTAATAAAGTGCCTTCCTAAGTTCTAAATTTTGGATCCCAGTGCTTTTCCTTCATTCTCAAAATTTTTTCATCCCCTAATTTTGTAGCTCGGTGTATCTTTAAATTCCAAAAATTTTTGTCTTCCCTAAACTCTGCCGTCAGTTCTGTGATTATTTGAAAAACAAATCAGTTATTCTTAATTCAAATAGCACTAAGTGTAATCTTATCTTTTGACCTATATGAGTATCATTAACAAAATGTATTTTTAGCATGTGGAAATAAATTGTTCCTTGTTAACATTTCTTAGTACATTTAACTTAAACCTGTAATCATCACCAAACATAATATCAACATAAAAGGTTACCATACTGTTTGTTATTAAGTTTTTAATATAAAAAAAAAAAAAAAATTTTTTTTGGCATCGCTGCACGAGTTATTACTCAAGTTGTCATAAATAATGTTTCACCACGTTGGTGTCAGGAATATAAAATACAGTACAAAGTCCATAATCTGGACTCATCGGGACTTCGGCGATTCCGGATTAGGAGTTTTTCCGGATTATAGACCATCAATTTAAATCTGATAAGATGTCATGCAGAAATCATCAAATTAAAAATATGAAATCGTAATTTATAAAATAAAGAACAATTATGATCTAAAAGGTATCAAAATTTACAAAAAAAAAGATTAATATTTATTTGTTTATTTTATTAAACATTTCTTTCAATGTAAGTTGTTTAAGATGATTCCACAAAAAATTCAAATTTTAAATAAGTTCCTTTTTCTTGTGTCAGATATAGTGGACTTTCCAATGCCATACTTCTCGCATAATTTTGAGATCGATAGGCCTTTATCCATTTTTTGCAGCAATTTCACTTTTTGTGTAATGGACATTGAAACATGTTTTTGCTTTGTAGATCCTTTGGCAGCTCCAGAATTGGAAACTCTTTTTGACATAATCAAAAGTTCAAGCTTTAATTTTTATAAAATTGTTCTAACAGTCTGCAAAAAATAATAAGCCAGATCCAATTAGAAGATTAAGGAACAGTGCAATCTGCAACAGTAACTGAAATGCCTTAGATAATTTTAGCCTAGCTTATACCATCCGTTATGCATTAAATGTGCATGCGTAAACGCATTATGCACATGTGTAAATGCATATGCGCATGCGCATAAAGTTTGTAGCTTTGAGGTCCGGATTATGGACGTCTGGATTACAGAGTTTGTACTGTATTAGCAGGTGTAAAATCAACAGTGTTTCTGTGCAGAGTTTTGGTTTGAGATGTATGCAAAGCAGTTATGCAGCTACGGAGCCAAATTATCGATCACACAAATTTATGCTGAATTACTGTTTCTTCAATAACGAGGTATTTATTTAATGCCGAAATGAAGTTAAGAATTGGGACTCTCCAGTTGTTTTATTATGGGGGGAATTCAAAAGTGCATGTGTAAAGCATAAAAAAAAAAAGTTGGTAGTAGTTTGTGGTTCAGATTTTAGATCATTCCGGATATTCGACGTCCGAATCTCGGACTTTGTATTGTATTATCTGATGAACAATTTGTAGTATGTTTTGAATGATTTGAGAATTAAAAATTAATTAGAGCAATAAACATTACTACAATTGTAACAGGAACCATGGTCTGGCCTAATTATAAATTTATTTATTAACCCAGTAACTTCAAAAATTTGAGGTGAAGTCACCTCAAGTTTTTTTATCTATACTGATAAGAGTACTGCAGCAAGAAAGAGTAGTACTTGCTACAGTAGCTGTAAGAGTATTGTAGCAAGAAATATTAAATTTGACTGTAGTTTTTTTTTTTTTTTTTTTTTTTTTTTTTTTAATGTTATAGTCTAAAAATTAAATTAAGACTACTTAATTTAATTTTTAGAGGATGTTCTAAAGGTCTCTTTAAATTATAGGCAAAAATTAAATATTGGACAATTAAATTGGGCCCAAGCTGATGAGATGCTGCATCTGATATGACAGAAATGGTTTGTTTATTGTTTCAGTTTTTCAGAATACTATGCCCTGTTTAATTACCTGCATATTTATTGATTACTTATACTTACTTGCTGCCTTTGGCACAACCTTACTGTGTGGTTGGTTTTTTGTACTTTTATTTACATTGTATACTTTTTTTATTGCTTTATGTCTTTACAGGATCATTTTGAGGAATCTCAATTTGAATCACTATGCAAAGATAGGAGAAAACTTAGAAAAACTGCAATACCAACACTCTTTAACATGCCATATCCACCACCATCTGTAACTAACAAGAGGATAAGAGAAATAAGATGTCCTAAGCCAAATACCCAATTAGGAAGAAACCAAATGGTAAGAGATTTAATGTTCTTTGAAAGGGGGGTGAAAAAATCATTTGTTATTACCAATATATTAATTCATTCAACCATTGTTTAAATACTTAACCATTGTTAAAATACTATAAACTTTTACTCTACTGTTTAACTATTTCCCCATTTGACACTATTGAAAGTTTTTATTCATATCTTATTTATTTTACTCTGCTAACTAAACTAAAACATCTAAAGCATAAGTTATTTTGTGTATGTTTTACAAAATATACTTGAAATTTTTATTCAAGTGAAAACATCTATATACTATTCGAGAACTAATAAATGATTTGAAAAGTTTATATGCATGGAATCCCGTGCATCTATAAAATCAATCTTTAAAAACAGCAGATATCCAGCCAGTGCCTGCGATAAATGAGCCAAACCTGGCAGCACTTTCCCTTTCTCTCCACCTTGGAGCCTCAAGAAATGATACTGCCAACTTTTAAAAATGTTTTGCTTGTTTCTGTGCTCTACATTAGTAAAGCACATTAATGGATGGGAACCAATGCTGTCTAACTTTCCAGATTGATTTGTTTGCTTTTACTGTAAATTGGTTTGTTTTCACTGTATATTACAAGCATCCATGCTTCTCCGGAATTCAAAGCCAAGCTCAAAGAGCAGCAGCGTTACTGACCAATACTCTGATCAGGAAGGCTGTATAATAAAAATGTAATTAATTTGAAATACTTATAAAATATGAAAGTGCTCTTTTCAGTGTTTAAGTTTCTAGTATAACTTTTAAAATTTGCTCTTTTCTGCTTTAATATTTAATGCATGTGCTGTCCCCCCCAATTTCGTTTACTTTTATTTTTATCTTAAATTTACCTGAAGTCTACCAAAGGTGATTTCTTCAATTTTAAAATGAAATAAAATGTAATTAAATTCATTTAAATTTTGCTTCTAAAAATTATAACTGATATTTATTGGAAGTGAAAAAATTATAAGGCTATCTTCTAATTTTGTGTACAGTAACATCTGACTTATATGATGCTGAAGTTAGGGGCTCCTTATTTTCTAATCATATTTCTGTTTCCCACCACCAATCACTTAAGTAATTCTGAATGCATTTATCAGGCCAATCCCAATATTTACATTGTGTTAGTTTGGCAATGGTGGTGTTGTTGCCATTTCGTCCCTATTTAGTGTGCATTGCTGTGGTTGCTTGCTTTCATGTAACCTAAATATTCTCAACAGATATTTGATTGTTCAACCTGGACTATGTCATTTATTTATTCACAAATAGTTTAAATTTTAACAGTTATGAGTTATCATCTGCTTGCTAAGCATTTATTTATTTCAATATAAGCACAAATATAATTTTAATATAAGCTTTGCGTAAATACAAACTTCTATTTAGAATTTGAGAGGGACAACAATATTTAATTTCAGTTTATTATTGTTATAAAAAGAATATTTTTTAAAATTTTTTATAAGAAGGCGAGATTTCCTCAACTTGCTAGTTAGAATTATATGTTACAAATGAAAACGGCCTTATTTGAGAATCTTGTTTGTGCAATGTTTCTTTATTAAAGAAATTCATTATTAAAGCCTTGTGGAACCTGAGGCTCGAAGGTACATAGTTTAGCAGGTTCTCCCAGCACTTTAAAGGATGCAAAAGAAAATCAAATCAATAAAAAGATGAGTGTTGCAGAAAATTTTATTCAAGAATTTCAAGATGTTTTCTCTGGCACGTCCTCTGGCATAGGTCTAAACAATTTGGCACAGCATATAATTGATATAGAGGATCATCGATCAATCAAACAACATCCAAGATGTCTACCAATTGCTAAACATGAAGAGGTGAGAAAACTTCTAAAGAATATGCAAAAAATTGATGTTATCCAACTCTTTGGGCTTCTGCCATCATCCTGGTCAGAATGAAGGGTGTTTCAACTGGATTTTGCATTGACTGTTGCCAGCTGAATGCTATCATGAAGGAATACAGCTACCCTTTTCCTAGAATTGATGGCATTCTGAACACTCTTTCTGGAAGTAAGTGGTTTTTGACAAATTACTTAAAGAGTAGATATTGGCAGGTGGAGATACATCCTGATGACCGAGAAGATGGCATATACTACTAGGCCAGAAAGCATATTTCCAAACCCTATCCCTTTTTTTTTTTTGAATTTTTGATGTCACAAAAAATCGACTTAGTTCACTTGCAGAATTCTTGTGCATGCGCTAAGCGAGGGCCAGAAGTTTGCATTGGAGATAGTAGGGATTCTGAAATGAGACAAAAAGATAACGCTCTCACAAAAAATATAACACATTATGTCCTCACAAATCAGCTAGCAGTATGATAAAAATTGATAAATTAAGAATGTTTGCATATTCAAATGAGCTGTGGCAACCTGGAGTATAAAAAATTACTTAGTGATTAAATATTGTATTCGAATTCTGAAAAGATGCTCGTTAAGTTAAACAAAACTTAGTAAATTAGTGTATTCAGTGTAGTCTGAAAGTGTATTCTTTTATATAATTGTGTACTTTGACCTGTTTCTATAACCAGAAAACATCACTCAGATGAAATGCATTTTGATATTACTATCCGCATATAGGATTACACGACATTCTGAACACTGTAGGTACTATCATAGGATGCCTTTTACATTGGAGTTTGCTGTATAATTGTAAAATATATCATAGTATAAAAATTCAATCAAAGCAACTTTGCTAAAATAACTCTCTAAAAGATCTGAATGCTCTAATTGAATTTCCTTTTTCATTACGGCCCACCAGCGGCCGAGCGGTAAAGTCACTGAACACTGGTAGTTCGGTCCGAGGTTTGAATCCCATGAATCGAATGGGCTGGCTGCATGGGCGTTTTCGTGGTTTTCCCCATGTGTAACGTGTATACGAGCCAGTTTTCCTTAGAAAGTCCTACACGAAGGCATCCCTTCCCTTAGGCAGATAGCCCTAGTGTGCTTTGCCATAATTAAATACCCCACACCTTTTCATTACATACTATTTATTTCATAGTTTTGAAAACACAGACATACTTGAAAAAAAATTATTTTTGCTGAAAATTTTTTTGTTGTTTAAAAACTATTATTTTTCAATAACAGAATGAAAATTGACTAACTTTGTGCTTCACAAATCAATATGAATACTAAATTCAAAATGTTGTAAAAATAGTTTAATATTTAGTTTGTAATAGATGTAGCTTATGACATGGAGAAAATGCATTCAAATAAAAATTCTGCAGGTTAATTCAATAGCTAAATTATTTCTATTTCCACTTTCAGTACTGAAATAACAGGTAATTGTAAACATTTTGAAGCTTTACAATATCAGCTAAAGGTTTACTATAAAATTTTTATAGGAGAAGAAATAATTTGCTTTTATTTTCAGAAATCAAAGGAAAAATTATTGCTGCTGAAGATTTTGCAAAATATTCTTTCATTAAAGTAGGCAAACATTGTTATAACAATAATGAAAATATTATCCTGTCTGTTTACTCAGCTTTGTGATTTTCTGCATGTATATTAAATTTATTCCATATTTTCTCAATAATGAACTTTTGAAAGTTCATGAAATGTCATTGCAGTTCTGAACTGAATTTCGTAATTATGTAACATACTCATAATCTTACTAAATTTTTCACACAGAATTTTCTTCATGCACTTTCCCCCGCCTTATCCTTGAAGTGGTGTCAATTTTATTTGCTGCTTCTTCTGAACAAACAGTGCAGGTAGCCTACAGGATATGTCTAATTCACCAACTGATGTACAAGTGCCACCTATCTAAACATGTGCAAACACCATCTATTTATGCACATACACATATGTGAAAGAGTACAGGAGAGCAAGGGTCAATATTATCACATATGTGCGTATCAATGCGACATCATGTATGACCATTGAGTGGATTTATAAGAATTTATTATGTTCAAATACTCTACATAATGCTAATTGGGAGAGGAATGAAACTACTCAAATGTGCCTACGCTTGTGATGTATGGTGTTAAGTTATTGACAACATTTTATAACTAATTAGAAAACAAGTTTATTTAAAGCTTCTATTAAAAATGGGATGCATTTGACAGTTTTATTAAATCAGGAAAGGGAAACTGTCACATTCAAAATGGTAGTTATAGTCATTTTAGTTAAATTAGATATTTTTATAGTTATAATTTATGATGCATACTTCCTCCTTTCAGTTTGTTTATACAGCAGAAACTAATACAGTCAAAAGTTGTTAATTCGGACACCCATAATCCGGAATGATCTATAATCTGGACCTCAAAGCTACAAACTTTCTGCGCATGCGTCGCGTTCACGCATGCGCACAGCGTTTTAAGAGGCGGTAAGACCTTCCACGGCTGCGAATATGTTGTGCGCATGCTCGTTTAAGTGTAACGGAGGTATAAGCTAAGCTAAAATATCCAATTCAGTTAATGTTGCAGATTGCATTGTTCCTTAATCTTCGAATTGGATCCGGCTTATACTTTTTGCACTGATGTTAGAGCAATTCATAAAAGAAGCTTGAATTTCGATTATGTAAATAGAATTTCCGATATATTTACTAATATGTAATTTGTACTACAAAGGCGAAAGTATGTTTTGAAACCGAAA